CCCTAGTAGCCAACAATTACTTCAACGGCTTGCCCCATGTCAACATGCCACTTCGGCATCAAAGGCCCCAAGATGTGCCCATATCGGCCTGACATGTTAGCAACAGCAAGGCTCTTTCAACGGCCACAGAAACAAAGTGAAAAAGAACCTAACAGCCATCGACCCTCATATAAAATCCTGATGATAACTTCTTGAAAGCGACCTGCGTCTAAGGGTTCTCCCACAGGGTTACCTTGGTCAGGAATCGCCAAGGGGTTGGATTCAGGGGAATACGAGAATCCCGCTTCGGTCTGGGGTTGTACCTTACTCCTTCACCGCTCAGTCACTCTTTGCCCTGAAGCAGTGGGGGACTGGGGCACTACACCGGCCTCTAAACGCACACAAGGACAAAATTGAAAATCCAAAAACGCACAAGTATACAACTACAACAACACCGTATCGTCTATGCACCATAACATCCAGGACCTGGTGGTGCACCCTCGGCTGCAACAAAGTAAGCAAACAAGGAATCAAAGCTCACCTTCCAGAACGTGGCACGCGTCGTCCCTCGACACATGGCGCTCAACGGCCTTGGGTCATGTACTCCATCCTCGGCCAAAGTAAGAAAATAACACCCAGTGTCCACAAAACCAAGGACACACAACGTCCTCTGGTTGAGTGCCATTATCGTCCACAAAACTAAGGACACGCAACGTCCTCTGGCCCAGTGCTACTATCGTCCTCAAACCCATGGACACCAAACTACGAATAATATCCCTTCGGCCTGGAGCACTAAAAGCAACCATGGTGCCTCCCGGGCAAAAAACACAAAAGGCAACCAACAACGGCCAAAGAGAAGAAACGCCAACCTCACGGGCTACTCAAATCAAAGACGCATATCGGCCACTGAGCCAGGACACCCATCGTCCTCAAACAAACAAGCACACACCATCAGCGGAGCAATAGCCTCCTTCGTCCACAAACGAAGAGCACCCAACGGCCAAACTCAGAGAATAACCATAGCGCCCCTGCGTCGGCCAAAAAACGTCAAGATTGCAGGAATCTACTCTTCCTCACTTCGTTTACATCACAGCTCAGAGAGTGGGGGACTCCTGATGGAGTATATGGGTCCAGACCCCAGAACCCATATACTCAGAAGAATAAGAGGCAAAACTCTCACTCAGTGGGACCTCCGTCGGCCAGATGGCCCTCCATCGGCCAGAAAGACATCAACTCAGAACATGATCCAGAAGTCATGAGGACCGGGTGTCTCCGTCACCCGTGGCTCCGTCGGCCAGACCACATCGGCCACAGAGAGCTCACGGAGCCGGATTTTATACTTAGTCATTTCTACATACTTTGTACTCGACCCAGTAGTGGCCCCAATGTAAATGGGTCTCCCAAGCCCAAGACTTGGGAGCCCAGCCCACATTTCCTCTATAAATACTCCCCTTGGGAGTAGTTGTAAGGGTTGACAAATTCATTTATTGCAGAACTTATTGCACTTCTCTCTCTAGCTCTCACTTCTCTCTAGAATATATACTCTATCAATGTTCATATTTGATATTCAAAAATATCATTTCTAACATAATATATATTAATTGTAATATTAAGTATGTTGACTTTTCTTCTCAATGCAAACCACATCTGGAATAAACGGCAAATAACAAAAGACAGTTTACAAATATGAGTGGGCTCCTAAAGTGGGTTCCTGGAATAATGTGATTGGTCATGCACCGGTACCTCCTTTATTTTGCAATGTACCGTAGAAGAACCCCATTCTATATTATGTTCCCATAAGGAGTCCAAACTTTCTATATACAGGCTACACATAGTGCAGCTAAAGTAATTAAGGAATTGCAAACTAACTATTATGAACATGGTTAGACTACCTAAATGGAATAGGTAAATGCAATTGGCATGGATATTATATGATAGAAGTATAGAATACTACGGAATATAAATCATAAAGTATATTTTACTCATATCGAGCATCATTCATCATTGCTGAATTAATCATTGTATTTTAATTTCTTTTTTCTCGCCATGAGATGATGATAAGAATAAACATGCAACTAGTCTGATTTGATCAATGATTCATTGGTTATAGGTTTAGCATCTAAGGTTTGTAGATCAAATCTGTTCTTTTTTCAATTGAAAGTGGAATGAAATTTCAGATCCAAAAGTTTAGTTGTTTTTAATGTTTTGATCTGAAAATTTAAACAAAACTGAGGAAGTCTACACTATATTATACGTAGTATTAGAATTGAAATAGCCCAATACCTGAAACCTGAATAATAGAGTTCTGGTTGATTATATTGCCGATGGCCAAACTCCGATAGGCAATGGGTTGTAAGCAGCATTCATGCGGCGAGTTCCAAGGTTTCATACTTCCAGGGCAAAACATTTGTTCCTTTGTTTTTATTCATATTTTCATAACTGATTGCAAATTCTCTCCATCGTAACCTTGTATCATGAATCATGATCTTTACCCTCTCGTCGAGTGCAAAGATCAAGAGATTCCACAGAACGGTCCGGTAGAGAGCAAGACATGGTGAATAACTCCGGCTGCGCAGGATGCCTTTGATGGCAGTGAGACATTCAGTCGATCACAAAGAAAGAAAAGTTTAGGTTTTAAAGAGCTGATAACGTGTTATAAACGGAGTCAAGGTCATATCTTCATTAGCACATAACACACATATATATACAGGGGAATTAGGGCTACGCTAGTTAATGGGCTTAACCCTGACAATACATATGGACCGAGGAGTAATGAACATCCACATATTAGATAACATCAACGCATTATTAGTGAAGAGCGTATTTGTGCCCATAAAAATAAATGAATGGTGCCAAGTATGGTAACTGTATTTTCAATTAAAAATTAAAAAGGGGTAAATTCTATTGCACCTTCGACATACTATATTTTTTTTAACATACTATACTTTATTTAGATAAAACAATAAGAAATTGTATCCGAATAATTTAAATAAATGATGAAATAATAACTTAGACCAATCAAATACGGATAATCGGTAGGAACAATTAAATTTGGTTGAAATGTATATATACTGATATACATGAGACATTCAATAAGTTCTTACAAAATTAAATTTGACTAACATAGTCGTCACTTTTTATCAAAGCATTTCGGATAAAAAGATCGATAGTGTGAGGGTTTTTAAGAGGGATAAAAATGACTCATTTTAACTTAATAAGAATGAAATTTGTAAAAGAGAGACATAGACAAATGTGTGTATTTGATTTATGATAAAAAAAAATTTAAATATGTTTTTAGTCCATGTAAATATAATATGGAGTACATTTTATTTTGTAGTTCTACAAAAAAAAATTCTATCTCTGAAATTTATGTTAGTTTTCTTTTTAGTCATGGATGATAACAATCTCCATTTAACCTCAAAATAACTCCAACCAATAGGTTTCATCTAATTATTATAAAGGATTTAGTTTTGAGAAGGTTTAATACCAAAATTCTCCTGATAAATCAGCATCTCGCATATTTCCAAACAAACCCTAGCATCGAATTTGTGAAGAAAAGAAAATCACTGCTCTGTCTCGCATTGTTTTTGCCCGGTCCTATTCTAACCCTAAGCCACGATGAAGAATTCATATGCCGCAATAATCATTTATTTATATATGATGATGAATCTCAAATTCTCAATCATTTATTTATAAAAGGAGTAATAAAAAAGACCCTCTTTTGGGCAGGGCATATGATGAGATGATGCTCTTTTGGGCACTCCCTTGTGTTGTTTTCAACCTCTCACGCAAGTAGTGTTGGATTCGGTTCGGGCCACCCGGCCCGTGACCCGGCCCGGCCCGCTACTGTGCGGGCCCGGGACCGGCCCGGTCGGGCGGTCCGGGTCCCCGGGACCGGGTGTAGACCCGAACCGGCGGGGAGGGGCGGGGCGGGTACGGTTCCTGAAAAAGTTGACCCGGCCCGGCCGGGTCGGGCCTGGCCCCGGGTCCAACGGTCCAATTTAAAAAATAAAAAAAATTGTTGGGCCCCAAACTAGCCGTTATGGCCTTGGGGGGTGGGCTGGGGACAACCCAAACGGCTATATAGCCGTTGGGTGGGGTGCAGGGGGGTCCGGGGGGTGGGGGGGTTGGGGGTGGGGGGGGGGGGGGGTAAAAAAACCTATAAATACTCCTAATCTTAAACATTTTTTCATCTCTTCTCCAATTCTTCCTAAATCCTATTCTTAACTCTCTACTCTCTAATTCTCTTATTCTCCAATATATTATATTTATTACTACCTCCGTCTCAAAAAGAATGATACATTTTGACTTTTTTGGTCAATGGTGGTAAAGTTTAGACAATGATTTTAGGTATTATATTTGTTTCTAATTTATAAATTTTAAACTTTTATGTAAGATTTTTTAATAAAGAATATGTTCATATAATTTTCATATTTTAAATAATTTTGTATTAAAAGATATCATTGATCAAACTTAACCATCATTGACCAAGAAAAGTCAAAATGTATCAATCTTTTTGGGACGGAGGGAGTATTTATATATATATACTTTATAGTTTATACTTAAGAAGTTAAGATGAAAAATCAAGATGGCATTATACGGTATAATTTTGATAAGCAGAAGGACCCGAAGACCGGGATGTGGTACGCAACTTGCAAATGGTGTGGGAAAAAATGTAGCATGAGGATTTGAGGCGGATACGAGATTACAATTTTCAAAATGTTTCTCTTAAAGTTTGTTTTAATTTTCAAATGTAGTTCCTATTTCATTTCAAATAAATGCACTTGAAGTTTGTTTTTAATACTTGTATAAAACAATAAACTATAAAATATAAATTATAAAAAAAAACTTTAACCGGCCCGGCCCGACCCGGCGGGTGGCCCGACCCGTGACCCGGGTGGGTGGCCCGGCCCGAACCGGACCCGTCCAACCCTCGGGCCGGTCCCGGGCCCATGTCATACAAACCGGCGGCCCGACCCGATTCCACGCCTAAACGCAAGTATATTTTACTGTATTAAATTCCCAGCCAAGAGCTTCATTTCTGAATCAACCCCATTAACTATTAAGAATGGCAAAGCAACGCTTCCGACTTTTATAAGTAAAAAAAAAAAAGATGCTGCTGGCTGGATTAAGTGCTTCAAAGCATAATGATGCTGAAACACAAAGCACACAACCTCTAACGTAAGTATATTTTTACTGACTAAACATTGCCACACCAAAAAAACTACAGTACTACGTAGTAGAAATTAAAAAGACCCTATCAAGACAGTATTGGAACAACAAATCCAGCCCTTCTCTCTTCAAAGGAGTATTCCATTTCTTCCACTCCCTTCCCATATAGAACACCTGTATGGGGGACCGGTGTCAAAGCTGTCTGCATGGGAGTACACACTGTTGATGGCGTTGAAGGGATGGGAGGAGTTCTGTTCTCATCTTCCACGTGGGGAACTGTCTTGACGGGTGTGGTAAATACTGTTTTCTGAATCATCACATTGTGTTTTCTGTTGAGTTCTTCCAAAATGTTGGACCTAGAGGAGGAATCTGTTGAAGAAATTGGTGAGAAAGGATTCCGCACCATGGGAACACCAGCTATGTCCAAACCTCTGCGACCTAAGAGTCAAAAGTGCAACACTCAATTTATGATACTGCTTAGGATTGATTGATTGGCCAAGGTGTTTGATAAAAAACAAATGAAATGCTGCTGCTAATGACACTCTTGACACCATCTTTAACTTTTTTACTTTGTCCTTGGACACATGGCACCGTCTTTGAATTTTTCCACATTCCAATCACTAATTGTGATAATGACACTTTTAGTCTGTCATAATCACACTTTTGGTCCTCCGACTTTTGCCATAGGTTCAAAGGCAAATCCCAAAAGTGTCACTACTATCACAATAATCAAAAGACTGAATGTGAAAAAAAATCAAAGATGGGGCACCAAATGAGTCTTCATCGCAACAATCCAAGGACTAAAATTGTAAAAACTAAGACTGTCATTAGCATCATAGTAGCCAAAGGATTAAAAAGTGGGAAGAACTCTCCTAAGAGATGCGAAAAAAGAGTAACACAAGTGTCAAATCTGCAATGGCAATGATATATATAAGACAATCGAGATAAACATCACTTTTAATAAAGGAAGAGACACTGAAACCTGTGGATAAAGATGAAAACCCATCATCAGCTGTAGAAAGGTTTGATTGGTCATACTGAAGTACACGCTCAGTCTTCTTGGCATGGCGCGTATTAGGAGTTGCTTTTGAGGGATGTAGTATTTCAGGTTTGGGAGTCTGCATGCCTCCAACAGACATCCTTCTGTTACTTACGGCACCACAGGACAGCCGAGAACCTTTCTTGGTTTGGTTCTTCATTGGACTAGGTTTTGATCCATAAAGAGCCTCGTGTTCTGCTATCAGCTGCCCCTGAAGTTTCTTCTGATCCTGAGGTCATTAAAAAGCAGTTTCTTGTGAACAGGTTAATGGCTTTCTTCAAGAAAACATGCACATATATACTAGATCAAGTAGCCATACCCTCTGCCTTTTGCGCTCTTGGTCTTTTTCTTGCCGCAGAATGTGATACTCTTCAAGCATGGAAAGAAGGCTAATCTATAATCAGAAAAATTAAACCACATTCAGGCATTTCTCAATTTAACTTCATTGAATTTGCAGCAATGAGGTGGTCTATCATACCCCATCATAAAGAAAGTCAATTCCCCTCTCATTTTCCCATGACTTGATTTTGGATGCTAGTCCCTCGACCATTGCTATATTAATAACACAGTAATCATGTTAACAGTGCAGTCATTATGCAATAGAACATTTTTAAATAAACCATACAAACTTTTCTTTCTCAATATTTAAAACAGACAAACTGGGAAGTGCAATTTTACGTTTGTTCTACACAAAATACTGCAAAAGAAAAGTATTTACCAGGAAGTTTATTAACCAAGGCACGGGCTTTCTCAGCACGCTTCAGGGTAAGATGGGCACCTCGGCCAGCATTGTAGCGATTTTCATCCTGTTCATGAATAGAAGTGTTGGGGTAGCAGTTATATGTGCAACCAAATAGACAAATTATTACAATTAACTAAGAAACTAACCCTGTTATACTCCTCAAGCCAGCACTCCTCCTCACAGGCAGTCATCCACTTTTCAACCTTATCAAGTATTTCCTTCCTGTTAAAAGCTTCTTCCTTCGCTTGAGCTATCTGAAGCTCAATCTGCTCAAGCACACTAATGGCATCAACAGCTCCTTTTTAAAAGAAAAAGAAGTTAAGGAATAAAAAATAGCATTCATTTCTCCTTGAAGTACATCTGTCTTGTTTCTTGTAAGTTAAAATTTTGAGTACCTGACTCAAAGGCTTCAATAATAATATTCAAAGAAATATCTGAATTTGGGAGCATATGGGTTTTCCGACAGATTTCTTCGAGCTCTGTTCTCTTTCTTAAAACAAGCTCCTTCATTTTGCTTGCTTTAAAATCTTCCAAACGTGATACTTCTTTAGCAACCTGGATCATAAAAGAAAACTATGTCAATGCAAAGTGACTCATTAAAGCAAAAAAGGAACAAAATAAAAAGTAAAGCAGTCGAAGCAGTAGATGGAAAATAACTGTTTTGAAATATATATATTGCATGTATATAACTCACATAATCAATGGATTCCAAAGAGAGCATATTTGGCTCGCTTATCTCAATTTCTGAGGCAGCAATCTTACACGTAACATTTTGAAATATTTGTTGCTCTTCAACTGGTGTATCCATCAAATTCCACAACTCCAACAATGAAGTTGCAAGATCTTGTAGCTATGACGATTCAAAGTTTAACCATGTCTACAGTCAAAAAACAAGCTAAAGTATCTGGGGGAAAAGTAAACTCCATATATACCTGTTGCATCCTTTGTATTTTAACTTCACGCAATCTCTGGATTTCGACAACTAAAGCTCGTATGGTGTCATCGCTAATGTTCTTTGCTCCTTCAGATTCTCCAAGACTTGGATGGACCTCATTGACGGTATGCTTGAAATCCATACCAAGCACCAAGCATAGAGAATTCAAAGTACTTAGATGGTCCATTATTTGCTTAAGTCGTTCACTCTGCAGACAAGATAATCTCACCACAAGTTATTGAAAATGGACTTTGAAGAAAGAGTGTATATCAGATTATGCAGCAGGAAAGTAAACCTTTTCTTTCTGAAGAGCTTGAAGTTCTCTTTGCAATTCTTCGAGCTTTCTTAAAGATAAATTACTTTCATCCACTGCTATGCAGGTAGAGAGGGAACCAGACCTATTAATCTCATTTTTTATCTTCTGAATCTGCTCCAACGTTTCAACAAATTGATTCTTTCTTTCATACTTCTTTTTCCTCATCTCCTCTATTTCTGGGAGAATTGCTCTGAGTTCTGCCTTTAAGCCCCTCAAGTTTTGCTCAGACTGAATTTTAGATGAACATAGTAAGAAATAAAAAATTTCCATCATTTGCAATGGAGCCAAAGATTCATTATTTTTTGGCTAGAGATTATGATGGAATAAAGCAAAATGGCTCACTAAACTGTCTGCGCTTCTAGTACAAGGGTAAGACTACGTACATCCGACCCCCCCTTACCCCACCGTAGGTGGGAGCCTTTGCGGCACTGGGGTAAATGAAAATGAAAATGAAATAGTAAGAAATAAAAAACCTGTCAACACCTTGAAGCTATGTTCATATAAAAAATCTCAAAGAAGAAACAAATAAGAATTCAATAACACATTTCTAAAAGAATATGAGTTTCCCCATCTATGACTATTAGTTATTTTCCCAATATATGAGGGTAAATGTATCATCCATTTAATTCTCATCCACTGATAGAGACCTGGACTTATGGGCTTATGGAGTGAGATATAATAGAAATAATACTGAGTATTTTAATCAAATGTAATAGTGGGCTGGCCCATTAGAAATAGAATAAATAAGTGAGAGTGGTGAGGAGATGGGGAGGGAGACTTTGGATCGGGACTGGGACTTGGGAGTGTTGAGACTACTCGAAGTGTCTCTATCGTTTCTTTTTCTTCTTTCCGTTCTCTTTGCACGACAATTTCCATCATCGACCATTGTAATAGCTTATGTACTCAGTTTTCCAGAATTAATTTACAGTAATTTTCTGGTTGCTATCATTGGTATCAAAGCATCCTTCCTGGAGCCTGAATCGATCGTCAGTTTCGACTACAGTCGAAGAAGAGGATGGACAATAGCGACAGTTGGAAGGAGTTGCGCTATATGCTGCGCAAACTTCGTCACCGTCAGAGGCGACATAGAGACATCGTCGGCCAATTGAAAAACAATGCTCGACGTTAGCCGCTACTCACCAGCCCTCTTCGTCGCCTACAATTTATCGCAGTTCTCAGCGATCGTCAATAGCTCTTCCCTGTTCGCAAGGGTCGCCCCGAGCAGATGTCCGCAGTTCACAGGCCCCTTCACGTACAGCTTCTCATAGGTCGCAGAGTTCGACGCTCAGGAATCATTCCAGTTTGCAATCGCGAACTTCATCTTCTGGTTCGCTGACTTCATCTCTAGCTTCATCCAGTTCGCAGTGGGTAACCGCATCATCTCCCAGTTCGTTGCGAACTGTTTCTCCTCTTCGATCTTCATCGTCAGCAGCTTCTTCCAGTTCGCCAGCTTCGCCGCAAACAGTATCTCCCAGACCTCAGGGTTCTTCACAAACAGATCTCCCCTGTTCGCAGGTCTCTTCATCTACTAACAGCTCGTGTGTGACTCGATCAGGAGGAGACTTGAAATCAACGGGATCATCCTATGCGAGCCCTAGTGCGAGGCTAGACAGAGGAGAAATCATCAGTTCACAGCCTACATCATATAAAGAGGAGGTGTCCATTAACAGAAAACATATCAGCCCAAGAAGGGAGATTGATTTGAATATATCAAATTGTGCTTATCACTTGGTACCTGAGAACATTATTAAGACTGGTATATTTATTATTGGCAAGCATGGAAATGAAAATGTGTCCCTCCTATTCCCAAATTCTCAAAAATACTTGAACCGAAAGGCATCAGATGACGAGATATATGAATTGGTGATAGCTTCTATGAAATTCAAGGAGTCTGAGATGCTTAAAGACAAATTCATGAATGGATTAAAGGAGGAGATTAGAGTCAAGTTGAAACTATTGCATTCTGGGATTCTGGCAGAGTTAAAGGACAGGGCACTGATTTTCGCGGTAAACTTTGAAGAAGCTGGTATAAACATGGATGGCTTTGACGTTGTTTGGCCACCATGGAGAAGTAAAATCGTTTCAGGATATCAGATTAATTTCAATGTCACAGATAACTCATGAGCAGGAGCATCCAGATGCTTCATTTCTTCTACAACATTTTGAAATGTTGAACGGTCCCTCAGAGAAAGCATCTCTCAGTTTGGTCCACATCAATCCTCAGGTAGAAGTCAAATCATTCCATAAACATTTTGCTACCTGTGAATTCTTATCTGAGGTGAAGGTCATGTACCCAGTTTTACCACTTACGTTGGCTACTCTACCTGAGGTAAACGGCATGGAGAGCATTAGTACTACTGCGGCAACAACAGCTCTAGACTCTTACACTCATTTTTTGAGTGTTGTTATTGGACACGAATCTGTCCAATTTCATGATTACATGATTGGCAGTAGCTCTGGCTCTGAGGAAACAAGATTGCAATTGATCACTGAACCCAACACTGAAGTTTCCCTTTTCCCAAGTGGTGTTGTGTATCAATGCACAGCTCTCTCTTCACTTGTCAGTTCTTCAGTATGCATCTGGCAGTACATGGCATCAGGATCCAAACGGGTTATGGGATTTGAAAGTCGTCGGGTTGCTCTGCTTGATATTGGTTCACCTTCGGTTTTATTTATAATATACAGTCACTCTAACTCAAGATCTCTAGTCTATTCTGCTAAGGCATCTTTGGGTGTTCATCAAAACACTGTGAAACCGGAAGGTCGAATCTCATATGAAACTAAGGAAGAACTTGCTTTGTGTTTAACCAGAGATGGACACATTATTTTAATGACTTGCAGCATTGGATGTTTCATCCATTCGCAACCAGTACATCCAGAAAAGCATGTTGAAAGAAAAGATCAAACAGCACCATCTGATCATGAGGAACAAAACAATTACAAAGATCCCAACAATCAGCGTGTTCTCCAGGCAAGCACGCTCATGGTTCCGCCATCGGTTAGATACTGGGAAGGAAGAGGTGCCCGGATGAAGATGAAGTTGAAGGTCAAGGCTCTTACTTCCCACCTTGAGGACAAGGTGGTTGTCAAAGGGAGGAGTGATGATAGAGACCTGGACTTATGGGCTTATGGAGTGAGATATAATAGAAATAATACTGAGTATTTTAATCAAATGTAATAGTGGGTTGGCCCATTAGAAATAGAATAAATAAGTGAGAGTGGTGAGGAGATGGGGAGGCAGACTTTGGATCGGGACTGGGACTTGGGAGTGTTGAGACTACTCGAAGTGTCTCTATCGTTTCTTTTTCTTCTTTCCGTTCTCTTTGCACGACAATTTCCATCATCGACCATTGTAATAGCTTATGTACTCAGTTTTCCAGAATTAATTTACAGTAATTTTCTGGTTCCTATCATCCACCGTACTCCCAATTAATTAGCTTAAATACAGGAAGTCATTTACTCGCATATGATGATAAGCACAACTAGAGAATGGCACACACATGGGTTTGTAGGCATAGGAAACATAAATAAGTTATTAAGTCATATTTTGAGAATTTCTCTGTCTTTTAGTCATATATGTGTATTTTTCCCTACTTAGATCAGCTTGCTACATATACTTAATGCGCAGAGAATTTGAGAAACTATGGGTCTATTTGGAACTTGGACAATGCAAGGGAAAGAAAATATAGGGAGGAAATTATAGATGAAATTTGAAAGGAAAGAAAACATTGAGGAAAATAAAATATTGGTTTAAACTCAATTAATTCATTTTTATTTCATAAGTAAAAAATATGCAAGTTTTTTTTTAAAATATGCAAAAAGACCATTTTCCTAAAACGTCTAAACATACGTAAGAAAAGAAATATTGTAAAGAATCCATTTTCCAAGGTAAATGAAATATAGGAAAATAACTTTTCTTAGAGGCTTCTTTCCTTACCCTAGCATATTCCTAGATGAAAACATAGCCTAATGTCCTAACTGAGAAATTCTCAGCCATGTCCATCGAATTAGGTATTTAGTTCATAGTTGTGCGGCTCACCTGCTGTCGGACATACACTGGTCGTTCCCCCATAGCTGAGCATATAGCTGCAAGATCCGCTTCAGAATCTGCAATTGCCTGCCTTAGCTGAGCTCTGCACTTGTTTGCTGTGTCTACTTTTCTCCGGTAAACTTCAAGGCACTCTTGTTCAAGCTCAAGCAACATTCTGTCTCTTTCAGAGTCGGATTCCCCCACTTCATCCCATATTATCTAAGGGGAAAGTGAAAAGCAGTGAGTTCTTCACCGAGGCAAGGTATGGAAAGAGCAATACCCTTAATTGTGATAGTCAATTTAGGCTTACCTGCAATTCATACAGAAGTGTACCACATGTTGTTTCCACTTGCGAAAGTAGATCCCTTTGTGAGGTAGACATGTTTCAAAGGAATTGATCTATGCTCACAAACGTAAGAGAAAACACAATACGAAGTCTTTCGTAGCAGCGAGAAACCAGGATAGAAGCTGAGAATAGGAAGGGATTTCAAATTTCATGGATTTCAAATTCCATCCAATTTGATTAAGGACGGACTAAAGGTACCCACTTTTTTCACGTGTCCACGGACATAAAGTATTTTAAAAATGCTTTATGTCTGTACAGACATAAAAAAACCTTACACAGACATGTGTAAAAAGTGTGTATACAAAAAGTGTGTACCTCAAGTCCAACTCCTTGATTAAAATCTTACATATTCTATATAATTCCATAATTGTGATAGTCAATTTAGGCTTACTTGCAATTCATACAGAAGTGTACCACATGTTGTTTCCACTTGCGAAAGTGCCTAACCTGATCAGGTTTCAAAACTCGAGACCTGATCTGGACCTGTCAATGGGTCGGGTCTAGACCCGGACCCGACCCGGACCCGGTCATTTGTAATGGGTACGGGTCTATATTTTATTCCGTTTACTCGGATCCGGATCTATTAGTATTTTAAATAAACGGGTTGGGTATGGTATATATGATTCCGACCCGTTAAGGATCCGAACCCGTTTAAAATTTCTTATTTGTATACACAGAAACTAATACGTAAAGTGATTAGTTATAACACTTTAAATAAAATAGAAACTAATATTCATATATTCATAATAATACATAAAGTTATTAGTTGTGAGTCTTCAATAAAAATATACACATTAATACATAACTACTATATAAGTCATACTGATCGAGATAGTAAGGTACCCTAAAACTAATGCCCATTTTGGCCGTAAATACATACTCATAAAGTGTGTATTGAAATAATTGGGCTCGGTAGGAAAAACACAATATTTATTACTATTATTATTAATATTATTATATCATTATCATATACTTCGTATAATACTACATATGATTTTATACTCTTAGTAGTCCAAGAGACCTTTTATGACTTAATTTCTTGTTTATTCTACGAGCTTTTTCTGCGAGAGAAAGCGACGTAAAGTGTGGAGTTATATGCTTGTACAAGAACCGATATTTTATTAGATAAAAGTACTAATTTTCTATGAGAGACTTTGATTTTGTTTGAAAAGTGAAGATATATTTTGCTTTTAAATTTGTACACTTTGCTTTATATTTCACAAACATGTCTTGTTATTTTCACAAAGTTTATAATGGTGTGGGTATCATACTTGGCGGGCAGGTCTACCCGACCCGTTGGGTCTGGGTCCGGATCTATATTTTCAGACCCGCCGGGTAAATGGGTCGGGTGCGGGTCCATTATTAACTTAGCAGGTCCGGGTCTGGAACACTACGTTCCGACCCGAACCCGACCCATTGACAGGCCTAACCTGATCACAATCATAATCAAATTAAAACTTTACTTTTAGGTTAACAACATAGCATATTTTATCATTATGTGGTGTTGAGGGAAGAGTAATTCCCAGGAGTTTAGGGTTAGGTTTAGCAGTCAGCTCTTATGAATTCTGTTCTCAATCTATGTTATGAAAATGCACGTTCAATTTCAAGTAACAAAAACCAACTCTATCCGAACAAGGCCCAAAGTTCATTTTAAATGAGGCCGAATGGGTGGAGAGCAAATAAGATCACTAGACGGCGGGGAATGTGCTATTAACTGTATTTCATTTACTCCAGCGATTACAAGCCGAGGGGCCGAACGTACTAAACTATGCTACGTGCTATTGATTCTATTACAATGCTAGAGAGTCAAAGTGCGAACCCCCTTTAATGAAATAAATGCGACTATTTATAGTATCCCATGGTGGTTGGGGGGGCTGACGTGGCCGACTGTGGGCGACATGATCCCAATCACCAAATCTCCCGCATTTAATGCGCTTCCCGCCAATATCTTGGCTTCCCGCGATGGTGTGGGGACGTCCGTCCCCTAGACTGGACCCAGCCCTTTGGTGGCAGCCTGGGCCCTTGAGTGGTAACCCACAAGATGCTCGTCCCCTGGCCCTTGGGCCCTGAAGCTTGGTCATGCAGAGCTACGTACGTCCCCTGGCCCTTGGGCCCTGACGCCTGGCTATGCTGGGCTACGTACGTCCCCTGGCCCTTGGGCCCTGGAGCCTGGCTATGCGGGGCTACGTACGTCCCCTGGCCCTTGGGCCCTGGAACCCGGTCATGCTGGGCTATGTACGTCTCCTGGCCCTTGGGCCCTGGAGCCTGGTTATGATGGGTTACGTACGTCCCTAGGGGTTGATGGGCTGGCCCTGGTTGGGCCATTAACCCAACACAAGTCCCCCACTTCTGATGTTCCGAGCATGCGCGGGACATAAAGAAGTAAAACACCCTCGATGTACCGCCTCGAGTTGTTCTCCCCTTTCCTCCAAGTGACGGTTGCTTCCCGCCGTTGTTCGCGGGGCTCTAGGTGCCATCTATCAGGCCGGTTCAACTTCTGATACAAAAGTAATCATTTCGTATCAGCTCGTCTCTATGTGACACGCGTCCTTGGGTATGCTCTTTGCCACGTGTCGCCTGCGGGTTGGCCACTGATCTGGTGCCTCCCCTTATAAATACTGGGATTACGGGAATGGTTAGGGCTTTTCATCCTTTGCTTCCTCTTACCTTCCCAGTGCCGTCCAGCGAGTGTTTCGAGTTTCCGCGTTCATCCCTCTCCCAAGGTTTCGCAAGGTAATTCTTCAATCCCAACTCTCTTCCTTTCTTTTCGTAAGCCTTCCCATGGCCTACTCCATGGAGATTTCTTCCGATTCGGAGACTGGTTCTAGCTCCTCTACCGGCTCTTTAGCCGGTTCCTCTTCCGCAACAGAACTCAGATCCCGTTCCTCGGCAGCATCGAGCGGTTCTGGCCGTTCCAGCGCTTCTTCGATGGTGGTCCCTGATGCAACGGTTGATGTCGCGATCCCAGATGCAGGGGAACATGTTGATATGGACGTCGTTCCCGAGAATGTCGTTGCGATGGTGGTGCAACCTGCCGCGGGGGTGGGGCATTCAGTCGATCACGATTCGGGTGACGAGGTCGAGGAAGGGGACGACCTCCGGATATACAAACGCGGTGTCCCCATGGATCAGCACCGGCACATAGTGCTCATCCCCAACGTCTCCGTGATTGAACAGGTCTTCTCTAGGAGGGCTCTGAGGGGACTACAGATTATTCTTCCTCCACCCGCTTACTACAACCTCCGGGGCGCGGATAACCTCCTCATGAGACGTCCGGGCATGGTGATGGTGCACATGGATTCTATAAAGGCCGGACTGCGCTTCCTGCTCCACCCGTTTTATCTCGATTTCTTCGAATTCTATAGTTTTGTTCCGGCCCAATTCATGCCAAACTCCTACCGCCTGATCTCCGCCTTTCTCGTTCGTTGCAAATCGCTAGGGCTCACCTCTAATCTGGAGCTTTTTCACTACTTCTTCCAAGTCACTCCCCAAAACGCCGATGGGTTTTTTAGCGTGGCCGCTCGTCCCAAAAGAAAGTTGTTCGAGGGGGCTCCCACTTCCATCCACGATTGGAAGAATCGTTTTTTCTTCCTCCGCTATGCGGATGAGCGGCTTCCTGTGAGATGGAACGGATATCCTCCAAAGGTTAAGGCACCGGAGCTAACCCAGGGATTGCAAGATGCCGTGGATAACCTAATGCTAGGCGGCGTTAGAAAGCTGAAGGATCTTTTGACCATCGAGGCACTCTCTGATGCAGGGATAGGTACCGCTCGTGATCCCTGGACTGGCATTCTCTCGTGTTCATCTTGTGAGCTCTGCACTTGTTTGCTGTGTCTACTTTTCTCCGGTAAACTTCAAGGCACTCTTGTTCAAGCTCAAGCAACATTCTGTCTCTTTCAGAGTCGGATTCCCCCACTTCATCCCATATTATCTAAGGGGAAAGTGAAAAGCAGTGAGTTCTTCACCGAGGCAAGGTATGGAAAGAGCAATACCCTTAATTGTGATAGTCAATTTAGGCTTACCTGCAATTCATACAGAAGTGTACCACATGTTGTTTCCACTTGCGAAAGTAGATCCCTTTGTGAGGTAGACATGTTTCAAAGGAATTGATCTATGCTCACAAACGTAAGAGAAAACACAATACGAAGTCTTTCGTAGCAGCGAGAAACCAGGATAGAAGCTGAGGATAGGAAGGGATTTCAAATTTCATGCATTTCAAATTCCATGGAATTTGATTAAAATCTTACGTATTCTGTATAATTCCATATAAATCCATAAAAATCTCATCCTTTAAAATCCTTAAGAATCCATGTCAGGGACATCCCCTTAATTGTGATAGTCAATTTAGGCTTACTTGCAATTCATACAGAAGTGTACCACATGTTGTTTCCACTTGCGAAAGTGGATCCCTTTGTGAGGTAGACATGTTTCAAAACTCACCTGATCTAGGCCTGTTAATGGGTCGGGTCTAGACTCGGACCCGACCTGGACCCGATTGTTTTTAATGGGTACGAGTCTAAATTTTATTCCGTTTACCCGGATCCGGACCCGTTAGTATTTTAAATAAACGGGTCGGGTATGGTACATATGATTCCGACCCGTTAAGGACCCGGACCCATTTAAAATTTTTTATTTGTATACACAAACACTAATACGTAAAGTGATTAGTTATAACACTTTAAATAAAATAGAAACTAATATTCATATATACATAATAATACATAAAGTTATTAGTTGTGACTCTTCAATAAAAATATACACATTAATACATAACTACTATATAAGTCATACTGATCGAGATAGTAAGGTACCCTAAAACTATTGCCCATTTTGGCCGTAAATACATACTCATAAAGTGTGTATTGAGATAATTGGGCTCGGTAGGAAAAACACAATATTTATTATTATTATTATTATTATTATTATTATTATTATTATTATATCATTATCATATATAATACTACATATGATTTTATACTCTTAGTAGTCCAAGAGACCTTTTATGACTTAATTTCTTGTTTATTCTACGAGCTTTTTCTGCGAGAGAAAGCGACGTAAAGTGTGGAGCTATATGCTTGTACAAGAACCGATACTTTATTAGATAAAAGTACTAATTTTCTATGAGAGACTTTGATTTTGTTTGAAAAATGAAGATATATTTTGCTTTTATATTTGTACACTGTTGGTCCCGTTTATATTAGGAACAGTCTAGAGGGGGGTGAATAGACTGTTCAGGATTTTTCAAACTTTTCTCTAAGTCAATACTGACTTGACAGAGAAGGTCCAAATCTGGTGACAGAGAAGGTCAAGTTCTGATGGCAGAACTGGACCTGGCAGCGGATTAGGTTCTGTCCAGGTAGCCTCAAGAAAATACTAAGACAAATGCCCTTTTGATAACTCTCAAGGGAGATCTGCTGAACACAGAGTCCAACCTTTTGAGTTAAACAGTTAAAGTCTAAAGTGCAGAAAGGAAATGTGTAAAGTAAATGACACTGGGGATTTTTATAGTGGTTCAAGAAACAACGTGTTCCTCTAGTCCACTGTTCCACTAAGCTTGTAAGTTAACAATTACAACGCCTTAGTCCCTAGCACTTAAGAAGCACTCCTCGTCTTCTTCAAGCCTAGTTGCCACCCGGGATGCAGTCCTGCTTCCTGATGGCTGGTCTCGTTTCACTGAGTCTCTTGGAAGTATCCCCACTTCACTTACTCCAGCTAGTTTGAGAAGTCCCTTCTTTTTCAAGAAGTATGTGATTCGAAATCAGTTTTCTCCAACGTTGCTTCTTCACAAAAGATATGTAGATGAGGCTTTCGAAGTGTTGAAGAACTGAGGAACTTTGCTTTTTGTTGGATGAAGGAATAAGAAGTTTATTTCTTTCCAACAGTAGGCTTTTCTTGTTGAGGATGATGGAGTTGTAATCTCAGAAAAGCTTGAAGTGTGTTTAAGATCATAGCAAAAGTTTTTGCAAAGTTATCCCGGTAGTTCTTCGAAGTGTATCTTATATACTGGGAGCGGTCTTCCCGTTGGAGTGTAGAAGACAACTTCATTAAATGCTTGTACTGTTGATTTGACCGGTTGGTCCTTCGACTTGCTTTTTTGGGGGCGAAAGGATATCCGCATGGTCAATCATCATCTTTAAATATCTCTTCGTACGTACATCATTAATTGAGCATTTAATCCGTGTACAGTACCATGTTCTGTCGAATTGCTCCTAGCCGTTAGGGAATATCCCGTTAGTTTCACGGCCGTTGGAATGTGCCTTCGAGTTCTGCTAAGTAAGAGCAAGTCTGAAGAGGCTTTCTGGTCCGAACTCTGATGTCTGCCTCTGATGCCAACTCTGGTACCTGACTTGGTACCCAACTCTGATAGCTTCTCTGGTGAGCAGCTTTGGGAGCAACTATGGTAGATATTCTGATCAAGAAGACAAAGAGGGTTTCTGGCACGTCGACTATGCTAATACTTACATAAGAGAATTCTATTACAAAATCTCTATAGGGGTACTTTCAAATTCTAATTAACCTAGCATCATCAAAATCTAATTACATTTATTCCTTACAATTTCCCCCTTTTTGATGATGTCAAAACCCTTTAACTATTTCCAGAGAAGTGCCTTTCACCATAAAAGAATAAAGTCAAAAAAATTCATTAAAATCTTGGTGGGCAACTTAGCAAAGGAAAATAGTAAGAGTACGGTACATTCAGATAGCATAAGTGATGGAGTATATGGGTCTAGGCCGCAGGACCCACATACTCGGAAGAACATAAAGCACAAGCCACTACGCGGCGCCCTCGTCGGCCAGAGGACCCTCGTCGGCCGAAGAGGGACCGACTCGGAATATGCACCTGAAGCCAGGGAACCAGGGTGTCCTCGTCGGCCGTGCCCTCATCGACCGTGCCTTCGTCGGCCAGACCCTCGTCGGCCACGGAGGACTCGCAGAACTAGATTTTACACTTATTCATTTGTATAGCCCATCAGTTACTTTGTATACGGCCCAGTAGCGGTCCAGTTGTAAATGGGCATCCCAAGCCCAAGGCTTGGGAGCCCAGCCCGTATTTTTCCTATAAATACTTCCTCTGGAGGTAGTCATGGGGGTTACAAGATCATTCTATTGAAGCATTTACTTGCACTTCTCTCTCTAGCTCTCACTTCTCTCTAGATATATACTCCATCATTTGGTGCTCTCGTTGAGAGCTAGAACAATCAAGTTAGCACCCTTCGTCGCTACCAAGCACAGCTAACCACTGATCATGGGAAGAACTAAGTCAAACCGCAACCTCGTCAGCAAGGCCATCCCTGAGGATCAGGAGACCAGGGAGCATGAGGAGGATGCTACGGCAGACCAGGTCGGCGGAGGGGACGTCTTCAAGGAGGCCATCAACCTCACGACGGACCTCCGCAACCAACTCAACGGCGGAGCCCCTGATGCCCGCATCGGCCTGGACAAGAAACGAGCTGAGAAGACAGACCACGCCCCAGCCCAACCTATGGCCGCGGCTTCCCCGTCTGTGGATCCACAGGTCCAGGCCGCGTTTTCGGTCATCATCGCCAGCTTGGCCCAGAACCCCACCGTCCTCAGCGCACTCTTGCCAAGGACTGGGGGGAACGTCACTCCACCTCCTCAGCCCCAACCGTTGGCCGTCAGGATAGGCAACGATGAGGGGGTGATGGCCCAGGACACGACGTCGTCCCACTCCCACCCCGCTTCCCCTCTTCGGCCTGGGCAGACCCCAGCGCGTGGAAAAGCCTCTGCCTTCAATAGGCTAGGTGACACGCTCCGTCGTCCGGTTTCGGAGAGGATGGCAGGGCGGATTAGTGAGCGTCGGCCTGGCTCGCCAAGGGAAAGCTTAGGGTCTGTGTCCCGGACAGCGGACCAGCCCTGCCTGGACAAGGGCAAGGGAAAGTTGCACGAAGACGACGTGTGCCACCAGATCAATGCGGCCCACGACGAGCGCATGAAGAACCAGCAGGGCGCCGCTGCGGCCGCCAGGGATCCCCGGGACGAGGTCATCGCCCAGCTGGAAAGGAGGCTGGCCCAGATGGAGGCCAGGAAATCGGCAAATGTCCCTACGGCCGGCGCCTCCAACGACCCTGGCCTCAACGCTCTCATGAACAAAGCCAGTGCCCTTGAGAGGGAGTTGGCCGAAGGGCGAGGTGACCCCGTCATCCAGGTCAGGACCAGGACCCCTTTCACTAACAGGGTTCTCTCGGCCCCCATCCCGGAGAAATACAGGGGAAACGCCATCAAATCTTACGATGGCCGATCAGACCCCCAGGAGCACTTCAGCCGCTATCAGAACAACATGCTGATGGTGAACGCGTCGGATGAATATCTCTGCCGTTGGTTCCTCTCTACTCTTGAGGGGTCGGCGTACGAGTGGTTCAACGCGCTCCCCGAAGGAAGTATTGACTCATGGCAAGACCTTGCCCAACGCTTCCTCACCCACTTTGCCGGGAGGAAGCGTGCGAAGAAGTATTTCACCCATCTCCTCTTCGTCAAGAAGCAACATGACGAACCCCTCCGGTCGTTCATTGATCGGTGGACGAGGGAGACCGAAGAGGTCGAGGGGGCCGATGAGCGCACCCTCCTCGTCCTATACCAGGGAGCCCTCCGCAGCTCCCCGTACGCCAGGAGCCTCATCACCGACCCTCCAAGGTCGTATGCAAAGGCGCTTCAGCGCGGGAGCTTGTACGCCAACGCCGACGAGCTCCACAACCACAAAAACGAGGGAGGTCATCCCTCTAAGAAGACAAATCCTTCGCCGGCCCCGGGACCATCCCCGACCGGCTAGGGTGCCCAGGGGCGTCACGGCTCTGGTGGACAAAGCAAGAAAGACCGCCACTGGCGGCCGAGGTTGGAACGGCCGGGGGTCCCCCTCACCCACCCGGTCAGCACCATCCTCGACTACGCCGAGAAGCATGGCCTCATTGAGCAAGCTCCTCGGCCGGCCGAGGAGGTCCATGCCATCCAGCAAGGCGGCACATACTGCCGATTTCACAAGAACTCCTCACACAACACCGACGACTGCATCACGCTGAAGAAGGCCATCGAGCGCCTTATTCGTCAGGGGGAACTCTCCCAATTTGTTAAAGGTGGCCCGCGCAAAAATACGTGGGTAAACGCCGGCAAACCTGGGGGCGAACCCTCTACGAAGAAGCGGGAGATCGGAAGGCTTAGCGACGACGAGGACTTT